CTAGAAATCCTCTTTAAAAGAACCTCCAATGGATCTGATTCTAGGCCATATGCTGCGCCACCACAAAGGTTTTCAAGCCCTTGAATGATTGCTTTTGCAACTCTTTTCTCATCAAAAGAATCAGAAACACAAACCCATGCTACACTCTCAAAATGTTGTTTAACATCAGGGTCATTGCATACCAGTTGTGCCAGAGCTGTCTTTCCCAGCCCACCCATCCCCACTATAGAGATGGTTTGAATTGGTTTCCCAGCCTCCACTTCACTATTCCCTCCCATCAAATAACTCAATATTTCTCTCTTCACCCCATCCCGACCACATAGTTTTGACACATCAACAAAAGATGAAGTTTCTGGACGTTTTGGAAGTTCAATCTTCTTACTTTCTAATTGATACCTATCTTTCTCCTTTACAATCTCATCTATTCTTCTATTGATTTCCTTTATGTTCACAGCAACTTCACGACGAAAAGAAAAGCTTGAAAAGAAATTGCAGAGTCGTGGTACCTTCCCCTGAGCATTTTCTGCCCCTTTTACTTCCAGCTCTACTCCAGATCTCCACTCATCCAATGCATCCTCCATGTCGTATGCAGCTTCTTTGAGCCTGGCCAGCCATATCTTGACAAGTTTGTCGGTTGTTTTCTTCTCTTCAGCGTCCGCGAGCATGGTCAGGACGAGATCAAGATTCCTTTCAAGCTTTTCCACTTCTTCCTCAACACCGACAAGCAGCTTCACCTCTTTCTTTGCCTTGTCGATGATTGTTTTTACCTGGTCTAGGAGTAAGGAAAGTATAGCATCAGCCATTTCTGGAGGGAGGGATTCACAGATACAGATAGGGTTGTTGAAAGGCGATTTGATTAGGAGAAATTGATTAAGTAGATCTAATAAAACGGATAGGAGTTGCAATACTGTTGGTATTTTTCACAAAGAAATGGAGAGAAAATCAGGAAGAAGATGAAGAGCAAAATCACTGCAATTTCTGATTAATCCCAACTTTTGTAGATACAAAGAAGTTGCGGTAGAAAAAGTCGAGTTGACTGACTAATTGACTGACTTTTTCTTAAACATACTGTACCACCCAAAATTGTGGATAGGCACGACTACTGCTACCCCTTCAATGGTTAATTTTTTTTTTTTTTTGAACAGTGGAAAACTTTTGTTTTTTTTTCCGGGGAAAGGAAGGACTTTTGATCCAAGTCTCATTAGTCCTACGCACGTCCGCAAAGGGTGGCCAATAGTCCACCATACGCGGGAACTTCAATGGTTAATTCGTCTTTTTCTGAGTTGTAATTTTAATTTTAAGTAATACTTTTACATAAACATTTTTTATTACATAAAATTATTAAACCACAGCATAGGTTAAATTTTTTTTTTTTTCATAAATAAAAAGATTAGTTGCTCAGCATTGTAATATAATATGAGAAAGAGAAAAATTAAGATATTTTGTTATTAAAAATATTAAAATATTTATTTATAATTATTAAAGATATGAAGTATAATGTGAATTATAATTTTATTAAATTTATTATATGATTATTATTAAATATTTTAATATCAAAATATTTTATTTTTTTATTATAATATTATGTGCATCTTTTGTTTGATAAAAAAAAAAGAATATTTCATTCAGTCAAATTAAAATATTAACCAAAGTTTAAATTTTTACTAAACAAAATATCCTTTTATTTTTTTCTCTTCCCTTTCTTTTCCTTACACTAAACAAGAACAAGCACTATATTACGTAAGAAGAAGAAACTCAGTTCCATTTATTATTTTCCGCAAAATATGGTATAAGAACCATAAAGCCTTCTCTTCTCGGGATGCAATATATTTTCTGCTATATGCCATTGGGCTTTTGCTCATAAGATTGAAAAAATAGTGGATGACCCAATAATTTTGGGCTTTATATTCTATCTAATAAGATTTGCTAATGGGCCAACTATGGGTGTGTACTGTTACCCCAAAGGGCTATAGTTTTGGTAGAACATTGAATTAATTTAGCTTTAGCAACTCATTAAAGAAATTGAAATACTATCAATTTCATTTAGTGCAAAATCTAGGGACAGTTACAGGTTAACAAAATTGAGACTTTACAGATTCAAATGGTCTCTCAATACCTTACTCCTACATTATTAACAGCTTGAGATACAATAATAAACATATCTTCCTAATTAAAAACTATTGAATTTTTACAACAAATCTATTTAGAAAAAACATTCCAACCCCCTAAGTTCTCCCTTTACATATCATCCTAATCGAAAGCCACCGAGTTTTCCAGCTCCTTGATAAAGTCTTTGCATCCACTGCCAGCCATCAGCTTTTGGAGACCGTTGACGATCCCCAAGCGTTAGATGACGAAGATGACTTACTGCCATGGCTTAGCGTGCCCCTATTAGGAGCAGGAAAGATTTACGGATCAACATGGATACTAATGGAACATTTTTTTTTTTTGTTGAACAATACCTGAAATTTTTCTTTTTTGGCCAAACGCAAATATTATATCAATAACAATTAAGGGAGTACCAGTTACTAATGGAACATTTTAAATTAAAATAATAGAAAGAAATCATGAAAATAAAAATAGAAACATGAAAAACCAAAACATAGAGATGCGTTACTCACTTTGGAACAATTTCAAAATTTTAGAGTCCATGCCATGATTTCCTAATCTTGAAACCACAAAGATGGAAGGAAACATATGCCTACATATACCTTTGGTTGGGTAAGTTAGTATTTAATTGGTTTGGGACAGCAACTTTCCCTAAAACAGTCATTCCGCTTCTTCTTGCTGAAGCTCATCCGACAATTAACGTACAATTAAAATAGTGTAGTATTGTGTCAATAATTTAAATAGTTCAATGATATATTATTTCAGTAAAAATTAAGATATTTTAAACTTGAATCGTAAAGTATATAAATAGAATACATCAAAAGATGAGAGAAAGTTACCTCTTATTATTCAATCCAAAATCAATAAAAAAAAGTTGTGTAGAATTGCTGTTGATTGTTTTGCTCTCAATATAACTAGTACTCCCTTAATTGTTATTAACATAATATTTGCGTTTGGCCAAAAAAGAAAAGAAACACCAACGCCCTGTTGGTTTGAATGAAAAAAATTTGATTCTTTTTTAAGTAAAAAAAGTTTGGTTTCTTTTAAATAAAGTTTTAAGTTCGAGTTTTGTAAATGGAGGAACAGGTATTGAAAGAGCTTCCTTCCTTTATATGGTCCGATGCACCTCAATTCTAGATTAGTTAAGATCCAATATAATTAACGGATACCGAGAGATTAATAAAAAAAAAAAAACTGTTAAAATATGTATAATTTACAACCCTCCCAAATGAGAATATAATTCAGAAAAATTAACGGACAACTGCAAGGAAGCACTCGACTAATGTATAAGAATGAAGACGTTTCATCTATATGAAGGATAAAATGTGCTGAAACTTTCCAACAAAAAACAAATATAGGGGAGAGGCGCTGAAAGTAATTATAATTGTAAATCCTATTCCCATACCTAACTAAATTATAAACATTATTCCTCATAAGTAGTCAATAAGTAATAATTAATCAATTGATAATAATTAGCACATATTTTAATTTAATATATTGTATAATGCATTAATTAAAAAATTATTAATTTTTGATATAAAATTAAAAACAAACAAAATTAAAGATGTAATTATGTATATATGATATAAAAATCAATTAAATTATTTTAATAACTGAATCAAGATATATATCAAAAAAAAATATTAAACTGGGTGTATACCAATTATTTTTCATAATTAATACCCTCTTGAAATCTTCCTTCTCAGTCTTTGTTATCAATATGAGGTGTGAGCATTGCTTTCTTTTTAAACACCATATGGGAAACAATTTTAATGTTTAAAGTACAAACATACTTCCATTTTTTTGATACCATATTTAACATCAGAATTCAAACTTTCTGACAATGTCACCCAAAAAAACTGAACACAGCGTAAAAGAAAAGGATAAGTAGATTCAAGTCAATCAGATGCATTGCAATCAACAAACATAAATTGCAAAAAATTAGATTCTATGAATATGCTGCCAAACGTCAATAAGTTATATCAAAAGCAATATCAATCAATTTTTTATTAAAAACAACCACCAAAATGCAAAAAATTATATATTTCTTAAACCATGCTCCTACATTAATTAAGTTATTTACAAACACAAATCACTCTTATAAATAAAATGGTATAAACAGAAACAAAGAACGTTCTTATATAATAAAAAAACGTTGGTGTCCACACTTCTGTCTAACACATAGCATCAGCACCAAACCGTGTCGGGTTTTTCGATCTCTTTGCAATTTTTAATGGTAAAATAGAAAATTTGGTCCTCCAGCTTTTATACAATGAGTATTTTGATCATATAACTTCAAATTTATTTATTTAATTCCCTAAAAGCGACCTTTCTTCTAACAATTTAGTCCCTCAACTTTAAAAAAGATATTCAATTAATTCCAAAAGTTTCTACTATTATGCACTCAAGTGCTATTCTACAAAAAAAAAAAAAACAAAATTACGTAAAATTCATTGAAAATCACATCTTATCCATTCAAATAGTAATAGAATCAAGGTTACAATAAGACATTAAAGCATATAAAATGCATTTCATAAAAAAGCAAAGCAATCTCAATTGCAGTCTCAATTCTTGAAACTTAAAATTTGAATTAGAGAAAAAAACATACATATGGCAATAATATCCAAAGAAAGAAGAAACAAATCCAATAAATAAACCCAAAAAATTACTAGACATATATTAAGGTCCATTCTTAGTGCAGGTTTGAACTAACAAACAAACAAAATTGAATGAGAAGTAATTTTCACCAAATGAAAAGCAATATTCCTGGCAGTTTTGTAATGAACATTGAATGTGAAAACATATGGAGAATTGCTATTCTTGTGCCCAAATCTCAAAGAACTAAAGAAACCCAAAACACCGAAAGCCATCTCAAACATGGAATTGATTTTTCCTTTGGATGATTGATGGCGAAACCGACTGAATTTTGGAAAAACCAAGCAAACATAGAAATGGAAATTGTTGAGCATAAACACAGCAAGAGGAAGAAAACATCTTAAGGCAAAAGACGTGGAAGACTAAAAGGACTAAAAAGTCAGATTATAAGAGAAAAAAGGAGAAAGAAAGAACAAGGGACGAAAAAAGCAAAACAAATTTCGTGAGAGACGGAGAGGTAGCGGACAAAAGACAAAGAGAGTAAAGAGAACAAAAAGCTAGATTCTAAGAGAGAAAGGGAGAAAGAAAGAATGAATAGCAAAATAGGAGAAAGAATATCACGGTAGCAATTGTGAGAGGGTAGTGTTTTTCCCATTAACTATTTTAGATTGTGCTACATTGTCTATTATATTTGTCTAAGGTACTTTCAAAACTTGATTTTTGCCCACTTAATTTGATATTTTTTTAAAAGAAATCTCATTTTTTTTCTAAAACATTAATTTATCACAAGTTGCCAAATTTCAAATGAAAAAGTTCAAAAATTTGAGCTTTAATGTGATGTATAAACATTAATTCAAAAAATGTTTCAAAGAAAAATCGAGATTAAAATGAATTATTTGCATTTTGTACATAATTTCAAGTATTTAAAACACAAGTTTTATTATAGGGACCTTATTGTGATGCTTGGAACGTTTGATGACCTAATTGACGGATACGAAAGACTTATGGATAAGTTAAAGGAGATTTCCCAGTTTAAACGGCGTCGTTTTGATGCTTCCCATTCCGCGCCCTCGTTCCACTACATCTCCCATTTACCAGCTACCGTGACCACACCTTGAGACATGAGCAGACCGTGCACCATGTAGAAGGAAGAACCCGACAACTCCGTGCAAGTCAGCGGCAGAAGCATGCTCTTCCGACCAGCCCCAATTTCTTCGCTGCCCAGTCAGTATTTCTTTCTGCAGGTATGGAGTCAATTTTTGGCCAAATTTGCTCAGGGGCCATGATGAATCAAGGGAAATTGGAAGGTGAAGATCAGAGGAGTCTAGGGTTTTGGCCGAGATTTTGTATAAATAGGCTGAGTTTTTTCTTTTTGAGGAGGGAGTTCAGAGTTCTAGCTCCTTGGGACGTGTCGGCAGTGAAGAGAATTTGTTATTCCATTGTTGAAATCTTAGTTTCCTTAAGCAAATTTTCAGGTATGATCTTGTTTTTTGTTTTCCTATGATAGATGCTTGGCACTTGTGGCATGTTTTATGCATTTTATTTGGTGCAGTTTGTTTTTTTTTTTTTTTTTTTTCTTTACTGGATTCTTCTCTTAAGTCCTTGAAAATGACTTGTCTGATGGTATTCTTTTCTTCGTTGGCTTTCTGAACTTTAGTCATGAAATCCTTTGCAGCAATATGATTTTGTTTGTGATCTTTTCTATTTGAGTCTAAGTGTCATTGTTTACTATTGGGGTTCTTCTCATCTCAGTTTAATTTTGCCTTTTCTCTGGGTATTATTTGTGCAAGGAAAGTGTCAACGAGTTCTGTTTCTGCTTTGTCATTCTGATACTTAAAATTGCACCAATGAGAGCACATAGAGTTGTTTAGTATTTGAAAGAGACATGATTTTATGGTGATTTTATTGGATTTAATTGGGATGGGATTTAGCTCTGAGAAAGACAAACTTGATTCTTACGGCGGAAAACTTGAGAAAAGGCTTGTTCTAGTTTAGTAACTCGGTTAAATCTGGACTTCTGGAGATATCCTTTCACAGAAACATTTACCACATATGTTTTGGTTAAGTTTGTTCAACTTTTTCTTTTTCCCTCCCTTTTGAAAACTGACAATTTTAGTTATTGCCCTTTTAAGAAGCATGCATTATTTTATTGTTACATGAGAAAGTTCATTTGCTTAGCTATTACAAAGATTTTAAACTGAGTCTCTGAACTTGACCCAGGAATCAAGCATTTGAAGTTAGTATTGACTCTATTAAGTGCTTGTTAAACTCAGCATGCATTCCTCCCACATTGTTTTGCTTTGTAATATTTTTGCATCCACAGACGTTAAATTTTATAACCGTGTGCTTTCTCTGTAGCTAACAACCTAGGCGTGGATGCCATATTTGTGTACACAAAGTTCGGACATTTGGCACCACTCGTCTCAAAACTGTCCGTATCCACCCATATTTGCCTTCACTAGTGACAATGACTCCCGGCTGGCTTTAAATCTGTAATGGGGGGGGTTATTCCCTTGCTTGTTGATCTTTCAGATGATATGGAAGGCAACATCTCAAGAACCATGGATCTTACAAAAACAAAGGAAATGGTGAAACCTCGAGATATTGTTTTGGTGGTTTCAGACTCAACTCCAACCATCCTAAATCCGACTGCTTTCCAGGCAATCTAGGTCAGGAAGGTTGACTAGCATTCTCCATGAGAGGCAAGTTGATGTTGATGAGTCCAGAAGGTAAAGGAAGAATCTTTATGCTTTTCCTACCCATTTGTTTGATATTTGATGACAATTGACCATTTATACTGTTGAAAATGTATTGCATAAATTGTGCTTGGTTGCTATATATGATCATGTTTAGATTCAAATGCTTTTGTTAGAGTGATAGATGATCATGCTATCAGGTATACACAATGAGAGCAGGAGATACATGATGAGTCACTACAAGAAAAAAGCTTATTATCTGCATTTGTTAAGGGATTTACCTGCATTTTAAATGCAGGTAAAAAAGTTACTAGCATTTGCATAAATGCCACACAAATGCTGGCACAAGTGGAGCCGGTAAAACCACACCTGCATTTTATGGAAATGCTGGTATAAACTTCTTTTCCCCTGCATTTACTAAAAATGCAAGGAAATCACATTAAAAAATGCAGGTGATGTCCATGGAAAAGTCTCAAATAGCTATTGTTTTTACTTGCACCTTTTGTCATACGCAGGGCCTCTTTTTTTTTTTTTGTCATTTTGGTTAGCAGCATTTTCAAGTAAACGCAGGAAAAGTGTTTTTTTTTTTTTTCTCACTATTTTTTGCCACCAAAACACTATCTATTTGTTGACAAAACCATTGAGGATCAAGCACAATTAATCAAACCAAATATGACATCAATTAATCAAAAATCTACACAAAATTGACATTATTAAATGCCTAATTTTCTTCATATCTAGAGAAAATATAACAATAATATTCAATTGTTTAAATCCCAAAAACAGAATACACCAAATGCTATCCCCAAAAAATGATAGAAAATGATATCCAAATAGCATACAACCAATGTCTAAGAGTATCTAAAAGCTTGAGTTGACACATTCAAACACAAAATAACTAGAAAATGACATTTTTGCTACTAACAATTAAAGTCACTATAGCCTTGAAATTTTCATATACAAATGCTTTACATTGCTGCCACCAGTAGCATCATTACTTTAAGATGCATCTGGAAAGGTTGGCATGCCTTCTTGACCCTAAAATGCAAACAAGATACATTTTGGCACAAGCAGGATTAGTTTGACAAAGCACTACTTTGAAACTCCTGTAACACTCTAGAAGGCTAAATGAAAAGGTTATGGTGCTCCACTTGAATGGCATAAGCAGGATTAGTTTCCCACATTAAACATGATAGCTAATTTGTCTAATTATGAAATCAATAACTAAAAATTTGACAACATAGTACAAATCATTAACTATCATTACTGCTTCAATTTATAACATCAAATTCCTACCCCAGAAACAAGTTGCAGAAAACCCCCCCTATATCTAAAAGCTTCCTCCATTGCTAAAATGTTAGACAGCAAACAAGAACATAAATTAATGAAGTTTATTTTATACCCATTGTAATCACACTTTTAACTCATACATTCTAGAAGATATATTACTATGTTTTCTGCAAAAATTATTAGCAATATGAACGAAATCAGTTAAACTATGTTTTAACTTTTAATAGGTGATAACAGGGAACTGCTTTAAAACTGATTCCCACCCTCAAAGTAATCAGAGGAAAAAAAGATGATGATGATGATTATAAATAGCCAAAACAAAGAAAAAAGAAAAGATATCTACGAGTAACATCTCATTGATCATACTCTGGCAGGCTGCAACACCTATAGCCACAAGTTACAAGTTATCTCATCTCATTCTTAAAGGTATTCCCATAATTAAGGTTTAATAATTTAATTATAGCACGCCATTATTGATTGATCACCAAGAAATAGTTTCCTACTCAAAAATGGAACATAGACCTTACAAAGTTCTTGTGTTTCAAAGCTAATCTAGGTAATTTGTGGATTATGACAGCTACAAGAACCAAGGAACAAATTGGGAAATACCTGGAGTAATGAAACTTCCTATTTATAGAACCTTGCTTATTCTTAATTGCTCTGCACTTTGATGACTTCCTATCGTTTTCATACCATTCTTAGGCATGCGCATGTTGTTCATGACGTGACTTCTTCAGTTAATTGCTAGATAATCTTAAGGTTGCTTTCATTCTGAAAGTATGTCTTTATATCCCTAAATACGTGTCTCCAGATTCATGCAAAGTAAAACCTCAAACAAGGATCTGGATTACTAGTGGAAACAAAATTGATGAGCTTGCAATTTAGACAATGACTAAACTACTGTTATAATCAAACCAAAAGCAAAACAACATAGAAGTAGAATCTTCACCCACCAAAATTTAGAAGCTTATACTAATCAAAATTTATTTTATTGTGCAATGAAATTTAAAAGGCAATGGCAGATAAAGACCACCTGAGTCAAAATTTACAAAAACTATATTCTTTTCCATTAAACACTAAACAAGCATTAACAGATAAATCATAGGAATGGTAAGAACGAACCTGGTAAGTTTGAGGGTTCATATCTGCAGTCAACTGCCTAACTAGAGCAGCTAGACATTAACAGATAAGAGACCTAAGTAATACAATTCTAAGTTCTCATAATGATTACCGAAAGAAAGAGGGAGATCGAAGTTGCAGAGGTTGCTGGACAATGTCTACACCGTCACTGGAGTCCAGTAAAAATTACCAGAGAGCAACACCGAGCCTGGACTGAATGCCCCCAATAAAAAAAACTGCATTTTATTGAACGTGCAATCAGAAATGAGAATGAAATCGGAAATGAGGATAATCGGAAATGAGAATGAAATGGAGGAGAACCTTCAATTGGAACTTCAGAGAAATTGGAATTAAAATCGGAAATAGCTTGTGGAGGAACTCTTGGAATCGAAATGGGAATGAAATCGGGGCTGGTAGCAGAGAATTTAATGGACTTCAAAGGAAGTTCAGAAATGGAAATCGAAATTGGGTGCAGAAACTCTCGGAAAAAGGGAGAACAACAATTGTTTTCTAGAAGATTTGGAAAAAGGTTTGGGAAAACTTTTTTTATTTTTTTTTCTGTTGAGTTTTAGATTTGGGCTGTTTCCAACCCGCCAATTTTCTAATTAATTCCCTGCATTTGTCAAATAAAACGCAGGAAGTTACTTGCGTTTTGTAAAATGCTGTTATAATAAAGCAAGCAAAAACAAAAAAAAAAAATTAGTTGCTCGGCGTTTGATGCAAACGCAAAAATAAGATTGCAGGCAATGAGTCTTGTTTTTTTGTAGTGAGTTTTGCATAATAATGTTCAGAAAACATGGATACACGCAGGCACACAATTCTTGTACATAATATTTCAAATACAGAACAACCAGAATTAAGACAATAGATCTTCTCTAGAGGCAGACAACTTTCTTTTTTCCCTGCCCTTAGTTTTTCTTTTTTCACCACCATTCCAGGAACCCCTTTCTTCATTTTTCGGATTTTTTTTCCCCCTTGCTTGTTGACTTCTTCCAAATTTGGCTTTTATTTTTTTCATATAAGAAATTTGTTCTTATAGAGGAGTTATCTCAACTGGTAAGAGTGTGACAGAAAAGGATTTAAAAAAAAAAAGTTATCTCCCATTATATAGCATATTACCGAATAAGATGTACCAAAATAAAAAAGTTTTAGTATTGTTCAAAATACTAAATCATTACCTCGGAGAAGCAAGTATGCGTCCCACATAGGAAATGCACGCAACTGCAAAGCAAAGTCAACAAAAATCGGAAGCTTTAGAAATCAGCAATGTTTGAATAAAAACATGAATTTGAAGAGCCAGCATATACGATATAAATGGTAATGGAGTACCTTTTTATTTAGTGCCAGGCAGAAGGAGCCAATAGTCGTCCCTGAAACCAAATCTTATGCCTGAAGGCGGATGTAAGGCTTCAATTATGGCACTTTCCTCAACTCCTTCAGCCAAATATATTAATAACTCCTCCACATTCTGAAGTTCAGCTTTTCTAGCCTCTTCCTTATCAATTGAATTTCCCACAACTTTCATCCGAATTGAATGGAGATGCTTCAAGTTTCCAAGATCAGCAAGGCTAAATTCTTTATCATCATTCCTATCTGCTCTAGTAATGGCCCCGAGTACAGTTCTAAGAGAAGTCAATTTCCGGATGTCTTTAGGGTAGTGAGTCAGAGCAAAGCAACCATTAGTAGAAAGAAACCTCAAATTGAGTAATTTTCCTATCGACTCTGGTAAATGCTTCAAATTTTGGCATCCTGTAAGCATCAAACACTCTAAATTAAGTATGTTGCAGAGTGCTTCAGGCAGCCTTTCTAATTTTTGACTAAAAGCCAAGTTTATAAATCTCAAGTGCAGCAATTTCCCAACTTCTTCAGGAACTTCATTACATAAATGATCAGGTCCAACAGGCAGGCTAAAATCCAATAGCCTTAACCGTCTGCAATGGTTAAACAAGCTACGCAATGCTTTCGGAGTTAAAGCATCCTCTCCTGTATAAGTTACAAGAGTTCGCAACTTTTCTGCACCAGAAATGAATGTTGGAAAAGTCATCCTTTTATCAACCATCACTAACAAGTGACGATGTTTTGTTGAGTTTGTACTCAAATGTTCAGACTCCACAACCTTCATAGCAAACTCATCCTCTGCCAAATACTTACCAAAGTCATGTACAATATCATGCAACTTAAAATGATAAATCTGTCCATTCCAAATTGTGAAATCTTGAAAGAAAGAGTGGGCTACTAGGATGTTAAAGTATTCTAGCCCTACTAACTCCAAATCTGCATCAGGATCAGAGCCTAAAAACCCTTGTGCCAGCCATTGTGATGTTATGCCATGATACGGGTACTCAAAATCTTTAGGGAAAAGTACACAGTACAAGAAGCACCGCCTTACAGGATGGGGCAAATCATAATAACTCAACAGTAAAGGAGCAAAAATTTCCTTTTGTGCTAAATTTAGTTTCCATATTTCACTGTCCAAGATACTTAGCCACTCTCCTTTAGTACTTCTAGACCGTAAGAGACTTCCTAAAACTTTGGCAGCAAGAGGTAAGCCTTTACATCTTTTTGCAATTTTCCTCCCAATTTCCTCCAAATCTTCTCGACTCTTCAGCTTGTCCTTTCCTCTGAATGCTGTATCTCTGAGTATTGACCAACACTCCTCGTCACCCAATTTCTCTAGATGAATGATTTGGTAGTCAGAGGACCCCATAATTGATGCAACTTGAAGATCC